AATGCTTTGCTTCCTTAGCTATTTTGCAAGATCCTACAGCATATTACATTATTTCACATGAATTCTACATCAGAACCTCTAATTAGGACAAGTATTTTGAGTAGTGAGGAAAACATTTATTAATATTTGACTATAACTAGAACATATTACCATTTTCCAGGTTAAAGCTTCTATTATCTATCTGCTTGATTGACTATTCCAGATTTTCATTCCGACACATTGCCAGCATCCCATGGGTAAACATCCTTCACGTCCAGCGTATGCTCTATTTTTCTTCACTAGAAAATGCCAGAGGCATTTACAATACAAAATATTTCAGCTTCCAAGACCTACAAATTCATTTTTTTTAATTTGTAGAATTGCATGTTTGGAACAATTCCTCCTGCATTCAGCAATTAAAAAGGATCATATGTCTGTGTGGGAGATAGCACACTGTGCAGTATCAGAAGTATTTCTATTATATTCTAAGACTAACTGCAAACACATTTTGATCTGCTTGTGAATTGTTGTTCGTATAAAGCTCCCATGGGTTTCATCTATCTTCAATGTTGTTCATTGCATCGGCTTGTACTGAATAGACTTTTTTTTCTTTTGGTAAAATTTGCTCTCGTATCTCCTTAAAATTTACAGGTAAGAAAAACTTGCATAATTTTACAAAACATGTAATCAATTTTAAAGTGTCACAATCCAGATAGTTTGATTTCTGGATTGGACAAAGAGGGATTGGAGAGGGGGAGGTGGGGGATTAAGAGGGAGTGGGGGGTGTGGGATGTGGCGACAGAAGGCATGGGAGAGGGAGAAAAAAATCAGAGTATATCAATTGAAGCTTCTCATAGATCTAAGCAGCCAGGGACCACAGGAGAAAAGTAAATAAAAAGCAAAAATTCCACACATTTGTGCAGAAGATTTAAAAAAATAAAAATTGTTCCCTGTTTCATGATTAATGGTCACATTTATCCAGTTTCCCTCCCTTCTGGACAATTCCATGTATTTTTAAAAGCTTTACACTTCGAAGAGTGCAATTAAAATTGATTAAACTGAGATCATGAAGTGATATCAAAAGCAAAGCACTGCAGAACTGTTAACTTTTCACCTGGGGCATGTTTATTTTGAGGTATGCTGTTAAACCAGAATTCCCTAGCATTCACCTCTCTTCAAAAACAAAAAAACATACATTGAGAGATGCTTTGGCATGGTAGTGATCTACATAAATGAAAGTAGAATTGAAGTAAAACGTTTGACATAACATTTTGATCTATCACATCATAAATGACTGTCAAAAATTAATTTCTTCATTTCAAAATGACGATGGAATTCATGAAGCAAAGCTGTATCTTGCCTTACATTTTCACACTTCGAAAAATATTTACAACCAGAAATTCTTCAAAGGACTTTTGCTTCACTTTTATCTCCAGAAATTTGAGTGGAAGAAATTAGTACCATAAGGCAACTTCCCTGACACTGGAGAGAGCGCATCAAAAGGTACCTGCAAATAGACCTGGTCAGGGGTGGCTTCAGATCAATGCAAGAAGAGGTTCCCAAAAACACCAGGGTGAGAAAACCTCTTATGTCAACACCTCATAACACTCATCTCACCACTCACCTACCATGTACTGACTCCCTTCAATCACCTATTTCAACATCATAAGGGCAAACTAATTCATCTCCTCTGCAAACCAGTATCTCCACTGAGGTCACAAGTCAAATTTCCTCCTGCTCACAATTTTTGTTTCTTGTTGGGGTATTTTGGAAGACCATTAAAATGGTGCAATTTACTTTAAAAATAGATAGACTTTGACATTTAGAAAAGAAAACAACACTTTTATGGAGTTAAAAGAAAAGCTTCTGTTTTTTTTCATCTTGGGGAGTGCCCTTTCGTTTAAAAAAATACTGGAACCATTATGAATGCTTGGCTGAGTTTAAAGTGTTAATGGGTTTCTGCACAGTAAAGTGTTCCACTCATCTAAGAAAATCTTAAGATTGTAGTAAAGGATTTTGCCTTTGACATAAGTTAATAGCTTTACCAACGGTGAAAGATTTTTCACATGGAAGAATGCATATTTTTCCATTATCAACTACAGTGTGCTTGATGGGGATTTTGTTAGATTGGCAAAGAAAGCTCCCACAAGGAACACAAAATATTTTCCATGCATATTTCATAGATTTAGAGGATGCTATTCAGTGGATATTTTGTGACAGTTATGGAAAGCACATGGGGATGCATGACTTTTATGAAGTGGTAACAAGGTGGGTGGAGAGATTGAGGTGAATGAAGGGTGACAGTTATGAGGCCTTCAAGCTATGTTAGGACTAATGCTGTAGTCACTAAGAACTGAGGCCTTCTTGACAGCTCCTCTCTGTCCTCATAATCCTCCCGTGCTGCTTCAATTGCTCACAAAACGTAATGAAAACATTTGGGAAAAGAAAAAATTTCTGGACAAAATCACTCATCAGTCAGGGGTGCAGTAAAATGGCCAAACCCAAAAATATACTCCCAAGAGGTAAATTCAATCTACAGAGTACAAAAACAGTGAAGCTATGCTACACCTTATCAAAAGGCTAGCTAGTCTTCAGCTGGAATATAGTTTCAACTTTGCACATCGTATTTTATGAAGGATATGTCTTCAAAAATCTATACTTGGATTTATCAAGATCATATATGAGGCACTTTTGTGTTGTGGAAAGATTGAAGAAACAGGGATATTGCTCTTAGAGCAAAGAAGGTTAACAAGTTAGATAGAGGCGCTTACAAATACGGAATGATTTTTCAGACAATAACAAGAAACTGTGTAAACAAAGATTACTAATTTATAATGATTGGTGAAAGACTCGGATTACTTGAGCAAAGCTTTTCTGACACAATGTCAATCTGGAAGCCACTGCCTGAAGGGATAGTTGAAGTAGATTCAAAGTACTTTTCCAAAAGGTATTTGATAAATACTTGGAGGAAAAATAATTACAGGGCTACCAGGTATGTGCAGGTACAAAACTCACTAACAAGTCTCCCAAAGTCATGGCACATTGGCCGAATAGTCTCCTTGTATTGTGTACAGTACAATTCCATGAATTCTCACTTATTCTGACGAATGTGCTTGGAAAGCCCAAGCAATTAGAGGTCTGTACCTCATCTGACACAAACCTATTATGTTCTCTGGTTTTGACAAGAAAAAAGCTTAGTTTGTTTAAGTTGTGTTATTTATTTAAAGATTAGCACTTTTGTATCTGCCAGAAGATCACTGATTCTAGTTCCATCCCAGAGATCCTTGAATGCATAATTCGGCAATGATACCTTAGTGTAGTACTAAGGGAGCATTGTTAGGTATGCTGTCTTTTGGATAAGCTAGTAAACAGAGCCTGCTGTACTCAGTCGTACTTCCATGGCACTATTTCACAAACAGGAGAGATTAACCACTGCTGTAATCAAATCATTGAATCATAGGTTATCTGATTGCTGCAGATCATATTGCCATTGGTGGGAGTTGCTGCGAGATTCCCTAAATTACAACAATGACTAAACTTTTTGGGATATGCTGAGATCATGGAACAGCCTATATGAATGCAAATCATTTTCCTTCCTTATGCTGTCCATGTATGTTTGCAAGGATTGTGTAGGAGTCAGTTAGACGGATCTGCAGAGAGTATCCCCTGCCCCTAACTGTCATCCTGTTATACATCTCCCAAGCAATTAGCAGCATACAGTAAAACATGAGAGAAATAGGACAGTATTTTACTGCTCCTGCCAGGGGATTTACAAGCCTCAGGTGGCCTTCCCACTTGATGGTGGATGGAACGTTACATGGGGTAGAATAGACCTAGGGTCACACCAACTGAGACCACCTAATTATTAATTTTGAGCATGGCTGGAGGAGTTCAGGATCTGGGAGGATGTCCAACAGGTTGCCAGCTCAGGCCACAGATTTTGGGGGGGGGGGGGGGGGGGCGAAAACTAAAATCTCCCTTAATAAGGTCCTCTTTTCATATTGTGAGTACACTCACACCTAAAGTATGCCCCTGTTGGTGCTCTGTTTTGTTCTCCCCATCAAGTTCCCTGCCCACCCCTCTCCACAATCCCTAGGATTTCACCTCCCCTCCACAGCAGCAGACACCCTGCTTGTACCTGACCCTGGACTCCAGGATTTAGGACTTTACAATATGGGATTGTACTCCAAGTCCTGGTCACCATTACCATTAATACTGCTGGTGATTCCAAATTTTTGGCTGCTTTTTGGGGATGACTTCTGTCTGAATGAAGTTCTGTCTCCAGCCAATTAAATGTTCCTGAAAGTGTTCATTGGCTGCAGGCTGCTGCAATCTGTAGAAATGTGCTTCCTCTGACTCTGACTCTTCGGGGTGGCAGAGCAAGAAACACCATGATCAAAAAACCTTGCCCATAAAAGCATTATGGCATAATGTACTTACACAGTCCTGCTTGATGCTATCCTTGTGATCAGCCACTAGATGTACATAGAGACAATAGTATTTCATTCAGTTAATAAAATTTGTTGGCTTGTGCTCCAATGCAATGTGTGTGGGAGAGGCCACCCACCACTACAAAACATGAACTCTCTCCCATCAGCTGTTGGGCAAAGTGGGGAAGATAACATCTTATCCGACACTGGCAAAACAGATGCTGGTTATCTGCAAAATGCAGCTGTAGCCTGCATGCTAGGAAAATGTAGCTGGGGTGACATTGCACATCCCTTAGGTCCTTAGCCAGATGATCCTGTTAAAGGAGACTGCAAAGGCTATAACAGCCAGCCTGGTCAAGTGAACTGTCGTGCACAATTGCTTCTCAGTTAAACCCAGGCAGATTCTCTTGGCCTGGAGATGTATGACGAGTGTGGCACCCAGAAAACTTTGTTACATGGATGGATTGGAAAAGGTGGGGCTGCTCTTACTAGGTTTTCAACAGGTTGCTATACGTCCTCCTTGCCTCGGAGCAATGCAAGGATGATTCTCATTCTAAATCCAAACAGTTTCTTTACAGAACTTTAAAATACCTCAGATCTTGCAGAAGTTTCAACAAACATCACTTCACAGCTCAGAATGCAGATCCTTTCTGGAAATCTGTGTGGAGTCAGTTGATTGACTCGCTAGTTTCTTCAACAGCCTTAAACAAATCAAGCAAGCATACAATACTCAATTATCCAGACTGAACAGGCAATTATGAAGCAATAAAACTTTTTTTTTATTCATTAACGGGATGAGGGCATCGCTGACCAGGCAGCATTTATTGGCCATCCCTAATTGCCCAGAGGGCAGTTGAGAGTCAACCACATTGCTGTGGGTCTGGAGTCATATGTAGGCCAGACCAGGTAAGGATGGCAGTTTCCTTCTCTAAAGGAATGGGTTTTTTTTTCTCCCGATAATCAGCATTGGATTCATGGTCATCATTAGATCTTAATTCCAGACATTTTTATTGAATTCAAATTCCACCACTTGCCATGGCGGGATTTGAACCCGGGTCCCCAGAACTTTACCTGGGTCTCTGGATTAACAGTCCAGCGATAATACCACGAGGCCATTTAAATAATTTGAATTAAATCTTTCTAAACAACAAACTTAAGTACATCACACTTTTTGTCATTTACATAAATGATTTGGATGTGATCATAGGAAGTATGGTTAATAAGTTTGCAGATGACACCAAACTTGGAGGTACAGTGGACAGCGAAGGAAATTACCTCAGTAGAGCAGGATCTTGATCAGATGGGCCAAGGAGTGGCAGATGGAGTTGAATTTTGATAATTGTGAGATGCTGCATTTTGGAAAGGCAAATCAGGGCAGGACTTATACACTTAATGGAAAGGTCCTGGGGAGTGTTGCTGAACAAAGAGTCCTTGGAGTGCAGGTTCATAGTTCCTTGAAAGTGGAGTCACAAGTAGACAGGATAGTGAAGAAGGCATTTCATATGCTTGCCAAAATTGGTCAGTGCACTGAGTTGGCAGGTCATGTTGCAGCTGAACAGGACATTGGTTAGGCCACTTTTGGAATAGTGCATGCAATTCTGGTCTCCCCGCTACAGCAAAGATGTTGTGAAACTTGAGGGTTCATAAAAGATTGACAAGGATGTTGCCAGACTGGAGGGTTTGAGCTATAGGGAAAGGCTGAAGAGGCTGGGGCTTTTTATTTTTTAAAACCCTGGAGTGTCAGAAGCTGAGGGATGACCTTAGAGGTTTATAAAATCATGAGGGGCATTGAAAGGGTAAACAGACAAGGTCTTTTCCCTGGGGTCGGGGAGTCCAAAACTACAAGACATAGGTTTAAGGTGAGAGTGAAAGATTTAAAAGGCACCTAAAGGGCAACTTTTTCACGCAGAGGGTGGTGTGTGTGTGGGATGAGCTGTCAGAGGAAGTGGAGGAGACTGGGACGTTGAGAAGGCATCTGGATGGGCATATGAATAGGAAGGGTTTAGAGGGATATCGGCCAAATGCTGGCAAATGGGATTAAATTTATTTAGGATAGCTGGTTGGCATCGACGAGTTGGACTGATGGGATTGATGTGACCCCATGATTCTAAGTCGCTTTTTAGAAAAGACAGGCAAGTTGAACACTGTAAATACAGAAATAATCTTTGAGGTATGAAGATTGCTTTAATGATCAGATTTATGAATCTGATATTGTTGTTCAGCATAATCAACTTGATGAGGCAGATGGTCAATATCACTCATAGGAAAGGAAATGTATCCTCATATTCACCGTCTTCAAAATGATCTTGGTCTGCTCTCTATCAAGCATCTTGAGTCTCACTTGGTGCGGTCTTCCAACAGATAAACATTGATACTGAGTAACCAGTTGATCTGCTTTGTTCCTGACAGACTCAATGCATCTTTGTTGTCATGATTTGACCATTTGATTCAACAGGAATGTCTTTGCAAAAGCAGATAACCAATGGTGACGGCTTAAGAATGGTCAGTGCCACGTAAAGTTTATAACCTGTCACAAATTCAATTTGTGCCTTCATATTTTCATTTTCCTCCCCTGACTAAACCTCTGCTGGATTCTGGATATTGTACCAGTAAGATTTTATCCGGTGTTCAAATATGCACCTTTAGTTTATCGTTTTGCTGAAAGCTTTGTCACAGCAGGGACAATGGTCACGCATTCACAAAATGTGCACACAATATTCTATTGCTTGAAAATTTCTACACACAGTATGGCCAAATCTTCTCCTCCTCTCTATGTATTTTACATGACCGTTTACTGTTTAGTATCAGTAAATATCACTACTGGAAGGAGGAATTCTGAAACAACCATACATACCACACCCTGAAATGGACACTGTACACAGTATGCATTTTTGTGTGGATCTTCACACATTTCTGTCGTTATACACGCTGTATGATACTCCAGTAAGAATTCTTCCATGTGTCGAACTAGTGAATTCTACTTTTTACAAAAACATCTTGGCAAAAAATTTCCCCTTAAAAAAATAAATTATAATACTTTTGGCATCAAGCTAGATATAGCATTGTGACTTATAAAATTTGGGTATTATTTTGAAGGTTTCCAAGCCCAATGGCACATTTTGAAAAAAAATTACTGCAATTCACTCGATTGTAACCCTTGCACTTTGGGTGAATCACCATTTCACTCCTTGGAATCTAATATGATAAGTTCAATTTGGACAGCCAATGCTTGCCCTTTTTCAAACTTAGCTTATCCTCCTCCAAGAGAAAACACTCCATTATACACCAGAATTAAAGTGCTTTCAATTAATTGTTCATGCATTATTTCAGCTGTCAGTGTACCAAATGTACACAGTGCACAGCAGCGTCATAGCGATTGGTTTCTATTTCACATACTCACAATTCTCAAGGATCACTGATAGAATGTATCTTGTTTGAACATCATACTTCTCTTTGGCCTGAAGTACTTTGAAAGCACTTACTCTAAGAGAAATCCTCACCACTACCCATCATGTTGCAGAAGATATCAGGTTGATTTGTTGCCTTCTTCCTCTTTCTTGGCAGGCATTCAGAGTGCATTGGATCATTATTTGGATAGAAACCGTGTGCAAGGGTATGGGGAGAAAGCAGGAGATTGGCACTAGGTAATAATGCTCCTTTGAAGAGCTGCTGCAAGCATAATGGGTCAAATGCCCTCCTCCTGTGCTATTATAATTCCGTGGTTCTGTGATCTACAGGGCATGCTTGATCCAGTGTGGTAGAGGAAAACCACGAACTAGTCTAATGAGAAGAGGCTTTGTCTTAAACATGGAGTCTGTTCAATGAAAGCAGCTATTTACAAATTATACTACAATGATAAATATCGTTACAGAAGCTATAAGGAACTCCTTCAAGTTTCTAAGCTGTTCTCCCACAAAGCTGTGTGACATAATCATCATGTTGAGTGTTGCTCAGGGCATTCCTCAGCATTAACCCCTTCAGACCCTTACCCGCTTGTACAACAATTGGCACATCTGTTCAACTTTTAACTTTATTCCTTTATTTTTCTAATCTAACATTAAGAAGGACTTTAATCTTAACTATTACCTTATTTCTTTACTTTTCTACTCATCCTATGAAGATCTGTAACACTTAACTTTTTAAAACGGTGTTTCTTTTACTACGTTGTACCTAAGTTTTTTGTTCCTAGGTGCCCTGTGCTGCAACATTGGACACTTTTCACTGTACTTGAGTACACGTGACAATAAAATCTAAATCTAAATCCAAGGTAGATCATCATCTTTGAGTTACTTGAATATTTGCTAGCTTTCTGCTCCAAGACAGTGCACATATATCACCATACAGATGGCTGCTACATGCAGATTATCCTTCCCTGTAATAAACAAGTAGCCCTGAACCCCAAGATATTTCACTTCTGACATGGGATGGTCTCAGAGCGATAAAAATGGTTCCAAACTTGATAAAATTAAACTTCTTAATCACCCTTATTGCTAATTTATGTATTTTTGCCAGGCACTGTATATCAGGTTCATTTTGGAGCAAAGCAGAGATTACTCTCATTCTAAATCTAAATGAACTATTTATAATCTCAAAACTTACAGAAGGTTCAACATCCCTCAGCACTTCCCTCTCCAACTCATCCAAAATTCTGCTTTATGTTGTCTTTATCAAGATGTCATAGAGAGTCAGAGTCATAGCGCATGGATACAGACCCAACTTGTCCATGCCAACCAGACATCTCAATCTGACCTAGTCCCATGCGTCAGCATTTGGCCCGTATCCCTCTAAACTCTTCCTATTCATGTACCCATCCAGATGCCTTTTAAGTGTTGGAACTGTACCCACCTCCAACACTTCCTCTGGCAGCTTGTTCCATACACACACCACCCTTTGGGCAAAAAAGTCAACCCTCAGGTCCTTTTCAAAACCTTTTCCCTCTCACCTTAAATATGCCCTCTAGTTTCAGATTCCCCAGCCTAGGAAAAAGACCTTGGCTGTCCACCCTATCCATGCCCTCATGATTTTATGGATTTATAAACCTCTGTAAGGTCACCCCCGAGCCTCTGACGTTCCAGGGAAATTAGTCCCAGCCTATAACTCAAACCCTCCAGTCCTGGCAACATCCTTGTGAATGTTTTCTGCACCCTGTCAAGTTTAACAACATCCTTTCTATAAAAGGGAGACCAGAACTGCATGCAGTATTCCAGATGTGGCCTAACCAATGTCCCTGTACAGCGACAACATGATGTCCCAATTCTTATCTCAATGTTCGGACCAATGAAGGTAAGTATACCAAAAGCTGCCTTCTGTCCCTTCTGTTTCTTTGACTCTCCCTAACTTCAAAGTCTCCTCAAGATTTATCTTGTCAAGTACACATTTGATCATTATTTTAAAATTCTTCTCCTATTGCTGCTGGTGTCCAATCACAACTGTGAAACGTTCGGAGACATTCTCCTATGTTAAGTTGCAATACAGGTGAAAGCTGCTAATGTGGTCATATATTAAAATAAATTACACAATTTATTTCATTACATTAAATACTGGAACATTACAATAAAAATTGGAAGAGATCATACAACTCCTTGAGCCTTCTCCACCATTCAATATGATAATTTTCTTTATTTTCCTTTCACGAGATGCAGGCATCACCAGCTAGGCTAGTGTTTGTTACCCATCCCTAAACACCTTTAAGAAGGTGACA